GTATATATTGTTGTTTAAAAAAATGAACAGACTATTACATTTCAAATGGATTGATGATTTTTAACTAAAAGTTAAAAAAAACAAACCCAAAACAATATAAGCTTAGATCTACACATGTATTCCCCCATTTTATTATTATTATGCTAGCTCTCACCCCTCCCCGCAAAACATCCCCTCTGAACCGAGTTTAATATTATTACTTTGAACCCGTTCTTTAATAACGCGTTCCATTGGAACAAGCAATTTAAGAACAATGAGAAACCGTTGGGACTGTAGGCAAGGCCTATGCTAAGATTTTATACTTTAAGTTAGCCCATATAACTCTACAGGCCTAGGGTAGGCTAGATCTAGTTTTCGAACACGAGCGGAAAGATGTGTGATCAACAGCACTGGCCAGATTTTTCGACAGGGACACTTTCTCCTTTCAGTGGTGATCTACTTTGATAGCCTGCGAAAGTTGAAATATGGCCTAATATGCCAGCCTTAGAAAAAATGCAATACGCGATCAAAATAGGATTATATGAAACTTCTTTAATCAGGTGTATAATTTGACCACCTGTAAAAGTTGGCAGGTTTCTGCTTTTTTAAAGTTGTGCACAAAAAACTGTCAACATTAGTTCTAGGCATAATAATACACATTCCTTTACCGGAAGACTCACTGGACTCGTTCTTCTAGCCTGCACGGCTTATTGTGTAAGCACTTGGTTCTTTTTATATGTTATTGAACACAAAAAGGGCTATGAGGGTATTGAGATCTCATTCTCTAGGAGCTGCTACTTTTGATTTAGATCTAGGCTACAGTTTAGTCTCCAGTATGCGTGTGGGGAGAAGTTCCACATTATGACACCCCCACCCCACCCACTTTTTACGTCTCAGTAGCCTAGATCTTTTTTTAAAAAGTTATAATTCACTCTTTTATTAGTAGGCTATGTATGAAATTTCAGATAAAATAATGCTGACCATTATTATTGAAAAAAGTATGCGGCTCTTTAAAAATTAGAAGTTTAGATCTAGATCTATATTATTAGTCTTTGCGTTCTTAAAGAAACAACAACAACAACAACAACAAAAAACAAAAACAAAACAATAACAACAACATTAACAATAACAACAACAAACCTCGATGATGCAAGTAACTGTAACAATTACTCATGAAATATTTCTGTCACCTCCCACATCTTTAGGCACAAAATCAAAAGAATCTCATGGAGTGGAGAAAAAAAGATAAGAACTTTATGAATATTGTTCAGACCGCCAGTACTCCGGATATTTTCGGGTAAGTTTAATTCTATACACCATAGTGTCCATCATTTTGAAAAGGAAACACTAGACTCAGATTTCAGTGTTTATCTCTTAGTTGAGATGAAGAAAATTATATTAAAGATTGATTGCATGAAAACTAAGCTAAAAACCTTGGGTCCCGCTTCCACTTCAAATCCAGTAAAGAACTTTCACGCCTTGCTGTAATTCGTAATTGACTTAGCACCAGAAGTTGACAAGTTGACTTTTTAAGCATGTGTGTAAAAAAAACCAGTGTCTTTTAATCTACCTAGCTGATTATCTTTTCAATATATATTAATGCTCCAGGTGACATTTTTGTTTGTTCAGTCTGACACGATTCCCCATAGATCTAGATTAGTAATCTCCCACAATTATCAATTTTTGTTCATATGTCTTTTCTCTTACTGTATGGTTACCATACGAACAGAGGATTGTCTTTAGTGCTACAGTTATAATTCAAAATAGTTCAAGATGACCACCCATTGTAGAGGAGAAAATTTATTGTCTTAGAGACAGGTAGACGTCTTCTTCTTCTCTTTCTTCTATCCCGTGGTTGGAGCAACCGTTGAGGCACCACTGCATTGGAAAACCAGCTCTCGCCATCTATTTTTGTCCTCAGCTCTCCTCAGATTGTCACCGCTCGTCTTTCCTGTCCACCCTGTAATGTTGTCCCCCCATCTCCTTCTCTGCCTTCCTCTCTTTCTCTTTCCTTGTACGGTTCATTGCAGGATTGTTTTGGCAAGTCCTGTGGATCTTGTGACATGCCCATACCATTTTAGTTTTCGTCTCTTCACTGTGGTCAGTAGATCTTCATATTGCCCCACTGC